TCACAGCGATACAAGTCCCCAGCCAAGTCGTTTTTCATGTTAGTGTACAAATAACAGAGAAATCTGGATATCTAGGAGGGAAATCAACCAATTGAATGCCACACTCACGCAAAACATCCATTAAAAGCAAGGACTTCTATGATGGAAAAATTGACATTGGCGTTTCGGCTTGTAATGGCCTTTGTGCTCCTTTTGAACATAATCAATAAACACAATTGTTTTTATGTTCCAAAAACACTGAGTCCATCACCTTCCTTGCAGATGAATCGAAAATTGGTGAGAAAGGGTGTTTTCAGTACATGGATTGTCTCTTTATCTCTGGCCGAACTTGATGAACCTAATTCTCAGCACTCGTTAGGAAACGTTCAAGGAAAGCAGTCGGATCTGTCTCAGAAAATGACTTTCCCATGCCTGAGCTTTTGGGGTGAGTTTTTGATCAGGTGTCAGAAGACGTAGCAGTCACCGACCAGAAACCTTCGTCATGTTCAGTTCATTGTTAAGAATGTTCTCAAATCTCATAAGGAGTATGCTAAGTGATTTGGCTATTCGATTTATTGTCAATCACTTGTCATCCGTCACCATATTCTGAACATGAACAAGTTTTTCGCCGTGGCAGCAGTTGCAGGACGTCCAGACTGTGGGTCATTTTAAAGCATCTCGCTTCACCGATTAAATTCAGCTGTCCACGTCTGCACAGCGGATAAATCTAAAGCGTCTTTTTGTTGCAGCAATATCGGCATAAATGTTCTTGACATTAAACTCTTTCTCTGCTGTTACGTGCTAACACAACGAGACGATTCTTTTTATTTTCGAGAGAATTAGCTATTAGTTTCATTTAAAGTCTTCTTGGAACTGTCAGATGTCAATTTTCAAGGAAAGAAACAATCCAGTTATTAATAAGAAGAGTTGAAATGAATTCATGCAAGATTTCACAGCTCTAGCATCACTCCTTCATAGTCAGCCCATGAACTTTTCCACCCACCATCGTATCTGGAAAGAAGCAATGCAGTTATTAATAAGAAGAGTTGAAGTTAATGCATTCAAGATTTCACAGTTCTAGCATCACTCCTTCATAGTCAGCCTATGAAATTCATAGTCAGCCTATGAACTTCAGCCGAACCTCGTACCTGGAAAGAAACAATGCAGTTATTAATAAGAAGAGTTGATATTAATTCATGCAATTACAGCTGAGATTTCTAAAACAAATAATGAGAAAAGACGGCTTGGATAATGGACACTCACGAAAAATAGTGATGGCAAGAGGGAGATGCGAAAACAGCGAAAAATATACCTAACGTGTCTGTATAAAGTTTTGGCAGAACAAGGATTACGCGATATAGATAGAAGAAAATATTTACTACGAAATACAAATGACAAGAAGTTGTGGAGAGCTATGATCACTCACACCCTGAAGAGATGCGGTACAGAGACGTACAAGAATTTGTCATTGTCTTATCTATTTTTTTTTTTAGCCTTGAATCACTATATCTGGTCAATTTGCTTTTGATATATATATATATATATATATATATATATATATATATATATATATATATATATATATATATATTTAATGAAAAAACAGACCACTTTAAGGTACCATTACAATAATTTATTTCACCAAAATCCTTTTTGAAGGACTCCGGATCATCAGGTAACAATTCCAACAACGAAATGAAAGGGAAAATGGGATTAGAAATTGATGGGTAGTGTAATTTTTGTAATTTAACAGGGAGGGTGATAGTTGTAGTTAACGAGACATGGTAGATTATAGAGAGGGGTAAATTTCATATTTCCCTTAAGCGTGTTTTATATTGGGGTAGGTGGAGTGACCTAATCGTGACCTATTTAGATGGTTAACTTAACGGAAATGATATATAGGAATGGGAGGGTAGTGGGGGGAAAAGAAAAGGAAAAATAGAAAGGATATAGACAACAGTAATACAGATATATTTAAATGAGTGTTACGGCAAAGAGAGAGGGGAGAGGGAAGTGAATCGAAAAGGCTGTAATTTTGTTTTAACAAAATTATGTAAAAGATAGATTTCAATGCTTGATAGAAATTTAGATGTCTAAAAAATGATGAATGTTATCAATTTAAACATTTAGTTTTTAAGTAAAATAGTTTAGGGACTTAATATAAGTTAACTACTATTTTTATTAGCACATTTATCGAGAACATATCAAAGAAATATTTAAAATTATAATAGTTTATTTACCCGATCAATTGTACTTTCATAATATTGTAAAAAAATTTTGGTAACAATAACATCTATATTAGTTTTACTTTAAATCTAATTTATGAATGCAATTTTTCTTTATTATTATACGGGTAAACTTAATTAAGGTTTAAGTTTCATTATTTAATAATATTTGAAGGTAATATTAACGATTTTGTTTTCTTCTTATATGTATGTCACAAAAACATATTCATGCAAATCCACATATACATACGCCCATTTACATGTGCAAATACACACATAGACACACGTACAACAATATACACAAATGTTCATCCATCTTCATACATAAATTACACATACACACATACATTTCTCAATCATTACCTATATTTTAACGTTTGAAATTTATTTAGATTTTAGTTTGATTTTATAGTTAAAGTTTAATTTTAGGTGACTTCTGAAGTGCTTCATTATTAAAGGAATTTCGTTAATATTATTATTACTATTAATAGTTAAAGAGTGGGATATTTAAATTTAAATTATCAATTTTAAAATGAAACTCCCTTAAGAAGATAAAAATACATTCTCAAAATTCTAATTATAGAACATTAAAAGAGAAAAAGCAATTTTAAAATACCAAGAGAATGACCCAAGTATTTCCATTTAAAAATATTCCATACACATATAGACATAGACACACACACACACACACACACACACACACACACACACACACACACACACATATATATATATATATATATATATATATATATATAAATATAAAGAAATATAGTCTTAAGGTGTGCTATATTTATGGAATAAAGTGCTCAATATCAGAGATATCATAAATTGTGTAAATATAAAAGGGAACATAGAAGTCAACACTTAGAGGCGACAGTCTGTTTCATGCTATATGCAATCGTCAGGCCACATATGCTGTTAAACTATTAGATCTACAGAGTCTTTAAATATGATTGTCCCGTACTAATTCTTGGTTAATATGATTTGATCCTGTGCAACCAGTTTAGATGGTTCTCTCTTTACTTCTAATCCAAACCTCTTTAGCCGGTATTTAATTATTTATTATTTGTCATAAATATTCATCATCATTATTATTATTATCATCATTATTATTATCATTATTATTTGTCATTGACTTTTGTGAGCAAATGTTGTAAAATGCGCTGTACATAAAGGTCAGTAAGTTTTTAATATCTTATTTACTTCAAAGCTACTAACCGTTGCTTTGTGGAACCGACTCCCAGGGGGATGCTTCCCCTATTCCTACAATGAAAACCTGTTGAAGTCAAGGCTTAACTGTTATCTTACCCACATATCCCCATAAACAGGTCCCCTTACTCTAGCACTTGGGCCTTCTACGTGATAAAAATACTCGTAAAAACAATACTTTAAACTATTTGTTTATTTAAAAATGGAGACAATATATTTGAAAAGCCTTTTAAAATATATAAGTGATTTATGAATTTGAATAAATTAATTATTTAGTAAGTATTTTTTAAATTAATTTTTGGGGGTGAGTTATCATTCTAAATAGGTTGACTGCTTCTACTTATGTTTTTTTTTTATTTCTGCTGTAGTGTTTGAGGACTTACCCTCCGTTATCTTTCTAACGGCTCTCATATTGTGTTTATTTCTCTGTTAAGCCTATTAATGAGGTTCTCATAGCCTAGTATATGCTCTGATTCTTTCAGACAGACGTCTAAGTCTCCAGTATTCTTCCTTGTCCAGTTTTTTCACTTCATTTATTTTCCTTTTCTCTTCCATTCATAATCAGCCATACCCGATTTAATTGTCTCAACTCTGACTATGGCTAATATAACCGGTCACTTCCGAATCTCATGTCCCAAAAATCAATTTCATGGCTTGTGACAAAAATAATGAATTTCAAAATATTACCGAGACTTTCAAATTGTTTTCAGATACTAAGATAAAATATTCTGATCATTAAATATCCTGCTCTCAATTTTGTCTTGAATCTGTATATTTTGGAAGTGCAGTCCATGACAAAATTTTAAGCAATAATCAGGCCAGTATTTACAGTGAACGCTGGTAATTCCTGACAAAATGAGCGCGATATCGGCCGGCAGATTGCGGTCAAACATGAAATAGATTGTCGCCGCACTCCAGGGATGAATTGATAAGACAAAATATTAACGTAAGTTATGAATATGTGAGCATGAACGCCGTAAAATTCGAAAAATTCACCGCTATATAATGGAGGTAAAATAATTTATGTAAATTCTTATTGAAATTGTAAATACGTGTTTTGAAATATCACCACGAAAATAAAAAAAAAAAAAATTGTGAAACCTTTTATATAAAAAATTTACAACAAAAATAAATAGAGTCAATTATTAGCATAGCAAAAACGTACTAAAATGTTTGTAACATCAAGGTTTTAAAATATGTAAATTGTATTTGTTAAAAACTACAGTTAAAACGATATTTTGTTTGTGTGTAAGATTTCAGATATAAGTAAAATATCTCTGTAAATAAAGAGTTTTCCTTTTTATTTTTTTATATATATATATATATATATATATATATATATATATATATATATATATATATATATATATATATATATATAAAGAAAAGAAAGAATGAAAGAAAGTATTCGGCCGGTAGACTCAACTGTATTGTGATAATTTCTAGCTCAAGCCGAGTTTAGACTCAGTGTCTCTTTATAAATCACCGATATTGAAGAACTGTTCCCGATAATGTAGCACATTATTACTCCTCAGTAGGGGATGCAGTTGGAGGATTCTAAACTTCACTGACAGGGCAAATTACACCGACTAAGATAGATAGATAGATAGATAGATAGATAGATAGATAGATAGATAGATAGATAGATAGATAGAAAGAAAGAGTGAAGATATATATATAGTGAGAGAGAAAGCAGACAGATATATTAGAAGACATTGACATAGGTAGATATATACAGAGAGAGACAGAAAGTTAGATGGGTAGATAGATAGATAGATAGATAGAGAGAGAGAGAGAGAGAGAAAGAAAGCACGAGATGTAGGTAGATAGATAAATAGACAGATAGAGAGACAGCAAGTTATGCAAATAGACACATAGATAGCGAGAGACAGCAAGAGATGCAGATAGATAGATAGATAGATAGATAGATAGATAGATAGATAGATAGATAGATAACAGAGAGCGAAATAGATAGATAGATGATAGAAATAGACAGATAGATAGATAGATAGATAGATAGATAGATAATGCACATACTAGGATAGATAGATAGATAGATAGATAGATAGATAGATAGATAGATAGATAGATAGATAGATAGATAATGATATATAGGATAGATAGATAGATAGATAGATAGATAGATAGATAGATAGATAGATAGATAGATAGATAGATAGATAATGATAGATAGATAGATAGATAGATAGATAGATAGATAGATAGATAATGCACATACTAGGATAGATAGATAGATAGATAGATAGATAGATAGATAGATAGATAGATAGATAATGCACATACTAGGATAGATAGATAGATAGATAGATAGATAGATAGATAGATAGATAGATAGATAGATAGATAGATAGATAGATAATGCACATACTAGGATAGATAGATAGATAGATAGATAGATAGATAGATAGATAGATAGATAGATAGATAGATAGATAGATAGATAGAAAGTCCATAAAATGAATCGCAAAAGAAATACGAGGAGTGACATTGGACATAAACACGTACAACTGTCGCAGAAACCTAACTCTACCAATCCTAATCATCACGTACGGGCAACTAAGGGGAAAAACAGAAAATATTATCTAAGGTTTGATAAAGGTGCCTCAGACTTGATCGAAGTAAAAGCTATTTTACGGTGCAGTTCATATAATGCAGTGATGAGGTCTGATTTTTTCTTTCCTTTTTTTGTTGGGGGGGGGGCTGGTAGGCTCGTAATAAAAATGTTTTGTGCATTGACTGACATGAAGGTTGGTTTTTAGACATTTTTGTTCTTATTTCTCTTCGTTTCTGTTCTGCTTCTCGAACATTTCTATTCTCTCTGATTGTACGACCACATCATTCTGTATATATGCCGGAATTTACATTTTAAATAACAAGCACGGATTCTAGCCAAGATAATCGAAGAGAAAAAATATTCAGCTTAATATAATTTATGAATATGCTGCCAAATCTGTTAGCCCCCCCCCCCCGCCACCTTCATGCCCAAGCGGACATATTGTATCGATATTCCTCTTTTAGGAATTCACATGTGACTAAATTGTGTCCGTGTGTCCCCATCTTAAATCAGTAGAATAAAATAACTCGTTTTATATCTTTAATATATAATATTTACTATGCGAAGCTTAAATCTGGCACATAGCTGAAAGCATAGGGTGTCCAATGAGGATCGACCTCACTATTCAGACGTAGCTGGTTTAGCGCCACAAGTTTGCTGAAAATTACGCCACATCGATGGTGTAATGGTTAAGCAAGCTTGTCTCACTAGAACAATTACGACTGAGTAGTGTGTTCGATCCTCACCGGGTGCTCCATACTTTCGGCCTTGTGTCACATCTAAGCTACGTGGTCTAATGGTTCACAAGCTTCTCTCTCTAGATCAGTTACAAAAATAGTGATTTCGATCCCCATACATTTGTCCTTGTACCACGTCTAACATATGCTTAGAAAATCACCATTATACCACATCGAAGTATCCAAATATTTAATATATGATCTACTATCTGTATTTAAGGGCAGTGTAGATGCATGAAAGCCGATGATTAAAAACCCCCAGTAATGATCGAACTCGATAATGAGTCATAACTGATTTGTGCGTTCATTTACATGGCCTCTAGACTAAGCAAGGATGTGATACAAGTTCGGTTTTACATTTGCGATGACCAAACGCAGGACAAGGTAGAAAATGGCCAATCCGTGCGACCACTGTCACGTTGAATTGGATATTGCATAGATCCCGTCCTCTCTTCGTCCCACGAGGAAAGTTCTGGTATTTCTACAACACCTGCAGTGGTGGAATGTCACACATGGTTGATTTTACGTGGAGAGCCTGGTGCGTGCAGCTAGGATAACGTAGAACATTACCCAATCCTTGTAACCAACGTTTCTCTGGCTTTGATATTACACCGACCATCTTTCGTTGGAGCAAAGTTTCTTATCCTAACGTGAACAAAGCAGTTTCTCAAAAAGGGATGGATATTTTATCTATTAATCCGACAGATTTTTATTACTTAAACGTTATTTTTAGGGATACTCGTATTTGAGTAGACGTTCCGTTTATTTGTTAAACACTATATTTATTTATTTTTATGTACCGGCCTGAACATGCGTCAAATCTTTTTAGAAAGAAATAGGCGCTCTCCAGCAGGATTCGAACCAGTGTTCCCCTGACGGAAGTACTCATTAGAAATCTGACGTCGTTTGACCAAGCAAAGTCGATGGCCAAACAATACATAATACTGCCTTTAAACAGATATTTTCTCTCTGACTCTCCACCGTCCTGGGTAAGACGATAAACTACATCCGGCAGCAAAGCCTCTGATCAGGAGGTTTTGAGGAGCGTGGAACCACCTCTTAATTACACGTGTTCCCAGGTCCACCCTGACCCGAGGTGTTAGCTCCTGTTAGAGTCCCAGCTATGGGAAAATAGTTAACCCACAAACTGGGGTCAAAACACTATGAAAGTGTGTAAATAGGTTTTAGTACCAGCAATACATTTTTGTAAAAAATTATTACCAGCAATGAATTTTTGAAGAAAAAATTAATACCAGCAATACAATATTACCGGCAATATATTTCCGGAAATAAAATATTACCAGTAATGCATTTTTGAAAAAAAAAATATTACCAGCAATAAAAATCTTGCCGGCATTAAATAAACCATTGAAGGTGATAGTGATTTTCTAAGCCCAGCTTAGATGCGGCACAAGGCCGAAACTATAGGGCACCCAGAGAGGATCGAACTCACTCGTAATTGATCTAACAAGACAAGCTTTCTAACCATTACACCACGTCAAGGTGCCCTAACCATTGAGGGTGATATGCTGTAAAACAAATCAAACCAAACCAAAGCAACACTCCAAATAAACATATAGGCACATATCCTAACATAAGTAAAACAATTTCTAAAGAAATAGATTTTTATTTATTAATCCAACAGATTTTTATTACTTAAACGTTAATTTTAGTGGATACTCGTATTTAAGTAGACGCTCTGCTTCTTTATTAAACACTATATTTATTTATTTTCGTCTACTGGCCTGAATATTCGAGAAACCTTATTAAAGAAAAATAAGAGTATATATTTCGTCCATGTTATTTATTTTAATTCAATATATTAAAATCTACTATATAACAAGAATTTATGTCTGCTTTCAGTTAGAAAAAATATCAGTGTTTAAATTTGAAAAAAACGTAAAAAACGATTATTTTACACGGAATCCTATAATTTTAGGATCGTGGTGAGTGGATGTCCGCGAAGATCAACTTTGGGAATGATAAGTTTAAAATTTGATTTTATTTCTGTGCGAATTTTGTACCCTCATAGATTAAATAAACGGTTCTCTTCGGAATTCTCCGTAGCTTACCGGATCAACAGACATCTGATGACGGCTGGAAGGCACAATGACCGAAATGTCGGGAAAGCAACAACAAAGACAATTGTTCGGACAATAAATGGTGTAAACTAATTATTATTATTATTTTTTTATTTTCTATTTTTTTACAATAAAGTTCACCCTTTACAAGGCCCGGGGCCACTCGAGGTAGAGAGTTGAGTACAGGAGTGGAAGATAACGGTTAATCCGATCCTTGAACATGTTAAGATTGTAGTGATCGGGGAAACATCCTGTTGGGAGTCGGTTCCACATTTGTTGGGAAAATGTAAATACTACAATTTTTAGAATTAATTTTCAAGAACGTCATGTCTGGTTTCATTTTCCCTGTTGACAAGTATTTTTAGAATCATTCCAAATGAATGGCGCGCACTTCAGTGCATCCATGTTTACTGTTGAATGTATTTCTGTTATTTCCCTCTCATCTCTCCGTTTCTCTCTTACATTCAAGTAAGCGACTAATGAACAATTATCCTAAAAATATTTATAAAAAAAAGACGGTGGGAAGCCACGTCAGGGCGGTGCGAAAGTGACTCTAGCCGAGATGCCAGGACAAGACCGATTACATTACAAACCTTTCTTGAGGTATACAGCAAGAGTAACAAGACAGATATGGCAGTGAATGTTCTATGGACGAACGAATGGTAGACTTATAAAGGTACAAGATAATGATTCTAACTTGAAAAATTGCCCTCAAAACGTAGTGAATAAACTTTCCGAGCAGTAGACCGAAAATGATTTGTATAAATCGTGGAAAGGAAAGAAATAGATCTTACTCCGGTTACATTGAAACGTTGAGGAAACAGGGACGCTCAGTTTAAAATTTTATTTTGATGTCCACACTATTAAGTAAGTAGATGTTTTTATGTCTTAACTTCATCTCAATATAACGAAATCCATTTTTTAACGAATTTGTTTTTATCGTCATTGTTTTTTTATCATTCGTAATTTTATCGGCAGTATGCTTTGAGGGAAAAAAATGCACACATACTTTACCTATATACAAGAACATTCTTTAAAGTCTCAGGGTAAAGGTTTTTATTATTGTTGTGCTATAATAAAACCATTGTCAGTCTGAAGTTTTGTTGAGACGAAACTTGTGTCTAAGTGGAATTTTATCATCATTGAAATTTTATCATCATTGAATTACCCAATAAACGTTTGAAATATATATACACACAAACACAGATACACACACTGATATATAAATATGCGCACACACACACACACACACACACACGCACACACACACACACACACACATATATATATATATATATATATATATACTAGCAGCAAGTCCCG